CTGGAGTTCATGGTGAAAACTGATCAATTGTATCTCATTTTAGGGTGTTCTTGATTAGTGTCTGTGCTCGTCAGAAGTCCGATCAGTGTTCACTGCCAGGAGCCTGCACCAGAGTTTTTGTCCAACCGCAGTGCTCGGCTCATAAGACTGGGTATATCAATTCTGGGACAAGTTACGGAGGCAGGTTAACTCTTGCATCAATTCTCCCCCGATCTCGTGAGGTGCGCCGACCTGTTGTGCATTCACGATCTTCGCCCAACTCATAATGATGGTGCTCGTGATGCAGCTTCGTCTTCCAGGCCCCAGAAAGGTGATGAATAATTTTTTATTTCATATATTTTGGAAGATGCAAAATTTCCACTTTTAAAACTTGATTTCATTTTGTAAAAATCGTCAATTTTGAAGTAATAGTTTGCTGTGGCGGTAGTAACTTTTAAGTGCTTATGGTCTTGCCCGTATCATTAGACTTTCAATCGAAAACTTAATCGCTGACACTTTTAATAGCTTATACCTCGCAAGATAAATTCGGTTTGTTACCTTTATAAGAGCAATAATTCAAGAACTTAAGGGTCTTATACGGATTCGCAGTTCTAAGCATTTCGTAAACGTATACGCTCTTTTTTTCTTTTAGGGTTTGAATAAGTTTATAGCTTAGATGGGGAATGAACTACCCTATTTTCATCTGAGGGGTTTCGGAGACTACTTTTATTCTCAGTTCGAAAATACAATTATGTATACTCAATTTCCCTAGAATTACATTCATTTTTAAATTGAATAATAAAGAGAAGATTATCTTTCAATTTTGGGCTAAAAGCGGAAGGTGCTGAAGTTGTATCCATAAAATGGTTTAATAAAGAGAGCTAAGTCAAATCTCTAGATTCGAATTGATGCTAAATAGAATTGAATGAAGATGATGCCTGTCGATGTTAGTTCTTTCTTAATTTGTTGTTATAGCAATGACGATTCATGATTAATTCATTCTTAAAATTCTGTGGACGACTACAGTAAAATTCCCCTTTCAAAAATGACCGACCAAGCTGCGATACCGATTATGGAAATTGGCATGAGTGAGAGTGTACGCGTTGCTTACTTTCTCGAGGCACGTGAAATGGAATCATAGCTCAAAGAAATGGAATCATGGCTGGCAAATCCATAAAACCACGGCTCAAAAAATTCAGTCGCGGCTCGCCAAGTAGATATATTCCATACTAGCTTCTGTAGATCCCTCAACTCTCAAGCCTCAAGCTCATCTCTGAGTGATGCGCGCAATTAACAATCTTGGGCCCTTCTCTGTGTTGCCTGACTTGATATTCATACTGAAGCCAATTTCTGACAGCCTGCAAACCTGTTTCTAGTTGGTAGTAGTTGCCTGGAGGCTGGAAGTTTTTTTTTAAGGCAGAACACTTTTTTTTAAGTGAACCACTAATCTTAGAATTCCATCCTTATTTGGAGTAACATGTGCATGATGTGCAAACAGATTTTGTAAAAAGGTTTGCGGCTTGTAAATGGCTTTTCATGGCCTACAGGCCTAGATATGGAATTCACGGCTCAAAGAAATGGAATCATTATTTCAATCATAGCTCAAAGAAATGGAATTGCAGCTGGGCTGGCAAATTCATAAAACCACGGCTTGAAAATTCAGATGCGTCTTGCCAAGTAGATATTTTCTATGCCTGGATTATGGCAGGCATGGAATAGTCTACTACTCTACTTGGCAAGTCGCAACTGGAATTTTTCAGCTGTGTTCTTATGGTTTTGCCAGCCGTGATTCCATTTCTTTGTGTTGTGAATTCCATATCTTGGCCCTGAAAAGCCATTTATGAGCTGCAAGCTTATTATTTACAAAGTCCCATGCACTGCACATATTACCCCACATCTCTAATTTTACCCTAAAAACAGTCACTAACATTTGTCTTCACCTAAGTGGCAACTAAGCAAGTGATAATGCAGTCTGACCGCAAGTACGTTATCTTCAAGGAAATTTTTTGGGTTGACTTGATGTTATTAGTATTACGTTCTGCTGCATGTTATTTTGGCGGCAGGCAGGAGCATTGAAGTACCGGTATATATTCTGCTGATTGTGGGAGTTAAAAATTATATGAAACCACTTGTTTGCAAAGTGCAAACCAAAATTTTTCAATCAAACAAAAAATTATGACATCATAGCTGCAAAATTTCATACATACTGAAATTATAAGATATTAGAGCCACAATATTTAAAAAAAATTGGACTTTACCAGCCCTGGATTATGGGATGCTAGTATGGAATATATCTACTTGGCGAGCCGCCACTGAATTTTTCGAGCCGTGGTTTTATGGATTTGCCAGCCGTGATTCCATTTCTACAAGCCGTGATTCTATTTCACTGAGACGTGAATTCCGTATCTCGGCCATGAAAAGCCATTTACAAGGTGCGAATGCGAATTTATTTACAAAGTTTATGCACGTGTTACCCCAAATCTCTAATTTTACCCTTAAACAGTCAAACGGCAACAATAAAATTTGTCTCTACTGTAAGTTCAGCACGTGTCTGTCTCACAGATTGGGACCACCCAGCAAGAGGCCCAAAATGAATGCAGTAAGCTTATTTGTGCTATTATACCTACTAATGTTTTTTTGTGATTATTTTGTGTTAGTCCTATCTAAACATTGTTTAACATCAATTTCAACCTGATGTTGATTTAAAATTTTTATCCAACATGTGTTCTCATTCTTTTTCTTTCTTTCATTTTCAACATGTGTTAAAGGCAACTAGCAATACAGGCCTGAAAAGTTTTGAGCATCGAGTTGATATCTTCAAAAGTTTTGAAGAGAAAACAAAATAGTTTCTTAGAGTCATGCACTATAGGTAGGTAGGTAGGTAATCAGTACTACTAATAGGTACTAGTCGTACTACAATATTATGAATAAATTCAGATTTCACAATGCCAAGGAACTAAAACTAATACAAAGAAAAATTGCGTGTCAGTCCCAGCCAATCTGTCATTCAGTGGAGATCCAAGCTAAGTTCTTGCCTTATTCTGTATATAAATTTTAGTGACTTTCGCTGATGATTAAAGAAGTGCTTGAAATAAAGGTTGAAATTTATAAAATTTTCTTTTTATTAAGGAAAAAGTGTATGTGAATAACCATGGAACTCTTAATTATTAGAAATCGCCAAGATGCAGTAACCTAGAGAAGTATTCAGCTTGGTTTAGAGAGAAATTTATAAGAAATTTCTCTCGGAATAAATTTATTTGGTTCTGCATTATCCTTTTGGACCTGATTGTGCTTGAGAACAACACTTACTGTTCAAACCTAGGGTCTGTGGTGAGCAAAATATAGCTCAAAGAACATTTTGTTCATATATTAACTTTGGCAGGGAATTGTACTTGCATCTCAATGATTCAAGTTTATAGCACCTAATTTGTTATTTTTTACAGGACTATAATGGTGATGAAGAGCATGGCACGACTTCACTTACAGATTTTCTGGCTGAAAGTTTTGGTCTTCCAGATAATGAAGGGCCTGAAACTTACCATGAAAAAATGGCAGCGGAAACCTCTCACAGGCGTTATTGTCGATCCTCTAGTGCTGAGAAATTCCATGCTCACAGTGACAGTGAATCCAGTTCTAAATTTCTCCCAAGTCATGGCTTTGCATCCAGTTCTCCTGGCTATTTCTCTCAAGACTATCCATCTTCCAAATCCTCCATGAGTAGCAGAGCTCATGTGACTGATGGAGCCTCCACACCCATCAATGAATTTGCCTCTTCTTTTAGAAGTAGAGGTTCATCTACTGATGCTGCTGTGTCAGGGGCACAGTCCCACGTTGACTATCAGAATCGCAATTCCATCTACGAAAAATTATCAATAGATGCTGTTAAGGGAAAGGCATCACCGAATCTAGGCTACCAGTCTACTACTACTGGAGGATATGCTGCAAATAGGGGAACTAATGATTCTTCTTTTCGAATTGGTCAGTCATCAGGGCCTAATAACCAAAATGTTACACCTTTTGATCACCATCAAGTTGGTCTTGCCACAAAGTCTGATGTAGAAGATTTTCAAAGAAGTGTTGGGGTTCATTCAGATGCACATGGATCATTTTACAGAAGGAGTTTGGATCAACGGGAGTCACTTGGTTCATGTCTCGGTGAGAGAGTAGATGATGGTTTTGTTGGTCGTGCAGAAACAGTTCGAGGTTCAAGTTATGCTGGTAGCAGAGGGCAGGGAGAAACTTTTGGTTCCTATCGTGACGATAGCGGTGGTCGTGGAGAGTCTCTTGGTGGTTACCATGGCAGCAGTGGTGGTCGTGGAGAGGCTCTCGGTGGTTACCAAGGCAGCAGTGGTGGTCGTGGAGAGTCTCTTAGTGGTTACCATGGCAGCAGTGGTGGTCGTGGAGAGGCTCTCGGTAGTTACCGTGGCAGCAGTGGTGGTCGTGGAGAGGCTCTCGGTGGTTACAACGGCAGCAGTGGTGGACGTGGAGAGGCTCTCGGTGGTTACCACGACAGCAGTGGTGGTCATGAAGAAGCGCGTGGTTCTTACCGTGGTAGCAGCGATGGTCGTGGAGAGGCGCGTGGTTCATCTAGTGGAAGAAGCGGCGGCCGAGGGAAAACTCAAGGTGCGAGTCCAGGTAGCAGCAGAGGTCGTGAAGCTCGTGGTTCGTATCGTGGAAGCAGCAGAGGTCGTGAAGCTCGTGGTTCAAGTCGTGGAAGCAGCGGTGGCCGTGGAGAATCGCGGGGATCATATAGAAGCGGCGTTGGTCGTGGGGAAAAACGAGGTTCAAATTTTGGTAGTAAGGGTGGTCGTGGAGAAACTATTGGTCTTCATCGTGGCAACAGCAGCGGTGGTCGTGGTGTAGCTCGTGGTTCATATCGTGGCATCACTGATTCTCGTGGGTCGTTGTCTAGTCGCGGTCGAGTTGCATCTACTATTTCTGCGCGAGGAAAAAGTCAAGTCTCGATAAAGCAAGGAAACGTGAGGCAAATGCGCAATAGTCAAAGTGACGGGCTCTCTGTTGGCCACACAGGGTTTTCTACCTCCCGATTTAAGTCTAGTACTGAACGCTCATCTCATGGCAAGGTAGTCCAGACCTCCAGTTCTTCAAAAGTCATTGAAAATAAGAAATTCACCGTTGTCGACAGCTACAAAAGCTCTGGCACTGAAGATACGGAAAATTTACCTACTGAATCTTTGCAGTGCAATGTGTGCCGTGTGATAAGTTTCAAGAGCAGTTCTGCATTTGACGAGCATATCAAAAGTCAGCACCATTCTCACATGTTGAAACTCTTGTCTGCTCGGAATGATAGTCTCGAACAATTCAAAAGGTTGAGTGCCAAGCACGCGTCTAGAGCAATTGAACATGAAGTTATGAAGAACATTTCTAATGACAGAAATAAAATGGAACAAACTGGAGTTGATAGTAAATTCTTCACTTGCAGTTATTGCCAGTGTACAGTTTTGCTGGCGGCTGTTTCTATGCACGTTCAACTAATTCAACACAAGGAGCTCATAGAATTTGCTAAGCCTCAGTGCTGTGATATAAAGTTTACTAGCCGTCAGAGCTATGAAGCTCACAAGACAACTGTTAAGCACTTGAAAACCAAGTATGAACTGGAAAAAAAATTCATTGTCAATGCTGTCAGAGAAATAGAGGAAGAAGTGATGAAATCCAAAGGGGAAAAGGTGCCAGTCAAATTCAAAGTGACTTCGGTATCTCTACCACAATCTGACTATGTGATAAAAATTTTGAAGTCACTTGAAAGCTCTCCGTTGATCGATCGAGACGTGAAGGAGGACTTTTGCCTGGCATGTGAGGTGACAGTTCCGAAATTTCGCCGAAGTTTCCATCCCTGCTGCTCGGATCACCACGAAAACACCATCTTTTTCTGCTCCAAGAACAAAGTACGTCTTAATCTTTTCATTTAAATTTGAAGACAAATTAACCCTTTTAAATTTAACTTTGTAAAATATCTTCAAGTATTTTCAACTTAAAATACCTTAATTCACTGCATCCTCAGTACCTAGTGTCTTCATTACTGTATTTCAAAAGAATCTTGTTCTTCTTGTTGAGAAGAATCTCTGAGAAATCTTGTCCATTTTGCTTAAACTTAACATTTTATTCCAGATCCGCATCACAGCGCGCATCACTCAGTACTTGAAGGAACTTAAGAGCACTAGTAGCTCGAATGATGTCTCCAATTCATCAGCGGGCTTGTCATCAGAAGAAACAAAATCTACTAAAACAGAGCTCGGCAACTCTGCCCCGTCGACCACCAGTTCTTCCATCACTGCCATGTCCAGCCAACCATCAGCTGACAAGAAATGTTTTGTAAGTACCGGTATTAACTTTTAAAATTATTTTACCTATATTACTTGTTCACCTCATTATGTTGCTTATTTATATGTGAATGTTTTCTAATAATAGGTAATCAGTTTTGTTGAATTTTGATGTTTATGTGACATTGCTTTCTCATGAGACAAGGTGCCCTATTCCCTTACCTCCAGTTTATTTGTAATGGTCAGAGAATTCAATGCATTGCTATACATATCTAAAATTCGTCTCAAAAATTTGCATTTCTCTAGACGGTTGTCTCTGGGCCACAGTTGAAACCAATATTTGTAGCGTTTGTGATAATTGTTTCAATGTCTGCTGACGTTTACTTGGTACTGGTTAGCAGGGTCTCTGACCGTGGCATTACTATCTGGCCTGCAAAAGCGCAGAGAAAGCTTATTTACTTCCAGAAATCTGGAGAGACAAGTGAACTTGATAGACTTGGCGTTTTTTTCTACTTTAGTCTCCATCTCGGTATGTTTTCACTGATATTTTTTCGCACTGCTTCAGAATTCATCTAGTCCAGCGAGCGACCGAGAAATCCGATTGTCTTCAGAGTCTGCGTGAGTTCCTAAGGAAAATATTGCATCAATATCACCAAATGTGTTTTGGTCCTGACTAGACATCACGAATTTTTTCTTCTGAAAACACGTGAAATAATTGTTAAAAAATTTCTACAGAGTAGCGATTGGATGGTTAGATACGACTTGACATCAAGCGTAAAATGTATTTCAAACTTGGATTGCATATTAGGTCTAATGTTGAACATCTTTCGGTGAGCTCTCAACTGTAAATTTGTCTCTATTTGTAGTAATTAAGATAGAAAATGTAGGCATGATTTCACCATTTTATTCAACGTAATGTCTCACTATGCATTTTATTTGCAGTGCCGCTTCATCTTCGCCCCATCAGACGGAGGCCATGAAAAATGATGGTTTAAACAGTTCTGATGATGAGGAAAACGATGACGAGTTCGACTATGAATTCCCTGATAATGATGATGACAAAGACGTGCAGACTGGTGCGGTACCGGGAGACCGCTCTGCTTATGCTGTCGTTGTAAATGACAAACAAAATTCTGAGCTCCATGTGGATGCAGAGATCGAGGATGAGTTTGAGTACGAGTTTGATGCCACTTCCACTGCAAATGACAAAATTCTGATAAAAAATGTGGGTGATTCCTTGAATACAGGAACAACGGAGGAGTTACAGATGTCAACTTCAGGTATAAATGAAGAAAATGATCATGATGAGATTGACGATTTCGAGTACGAATACGCGCCCGAACAAAGCGCTGAATTAGCTTCTGGCGCCCAGCCTGATCTTGACGACAATGAAGGTGAAGCTCTTTCAAAAAGTGAAGACATTGACGACTTTGATTACCAATTTGATGATGCAGATGAGACGAGGACAAAAGGAAACGACGACTCGGCAAGTCGGGCGATAGACATCGAAAAAGCCACTGGCGAGAAAGCTGATAAGGCTAAAGTTGAAGACAGTAAATTATGCAACGCATCTTTAGATGCTAATGAAGTTGATGAATTTGATTACGATTTGGCGCCCGAAGATGTCAATTCGAAAGATACGAATCGCGTAGAGATGGATCGCAGGAATAAAGCTGTAACGGACGACGTAGAAAAAGCATGCAATTCAGAATTACTGGAAGAAGTTGAAGATGATTTTGAATATGAGTTGTCCACCGACGCTCACTCTGAAAGTGAGATGGATTTGGAACATAAACGGGAAGAGAAGACAAATGTTGAGGACAGAATTATCGCTGTTCCTGCTAGCGAGTTCGCCAAAGCTACTGTAGACGTAGATGCTAATCCGGCTTCAAGTGCCCAATCAAAGTTAAGTGGTTCTGTAGCCTCTCAAAAGAAAGTAGCTAGTGAAGAATATACAGAGTCTAGAAACGAACCAGAAGATGAGAATGAAGACGAAATTGAAGATTTCGAGTATGATGTCCAACTAGATGGAAACCCAGCCGAGCAAGAGCAAACGTTGACGGCAGACGGCGAAGAGGAAGATGCAGAAGATGACGAGTTTGACTACGAAGGCTTTACCACCAACGAATAATTCCTAAAGAAATGCTCATAAGGGACTGACGTTTATTTTTTCCTCCGACGAACGTAATCTGAGACTCCACACCAAAACCGGAATTCTTATTGGTGGTGGTAAGTCGGCCATCATAGGTAACCTAAGCGATTATGCTGGTTAATGGTGAAGCTTCCTCGAAAAGTAAGTCGACTCTAAAAAAATGTTGGCGATCGAAATGGCCATTTATACCCTCAAGCCACGGTGTGAGCCACACTTCTAACTCTACCAGGAACTGATCTACATGAAATATTGCTCACCTATCATGTACTAGGATAACGTCAAGCCTATTAGGAGAATCTTTTGTTCTGCTGTTCTAATTTAATCGTATTACTGAAGCTGAAAATAATTGAAATACGCTTGCCAGACATTTGATCGTGGAAATTTTGCCTCGATCGAGAACAAACTCCACTGATCAAAGAAATGAAACAAAAATTCTTTCAGCATTCTCTAACCTGAGTCTTGGAAAAATAAAACAAGAATGAGGTAGAACAATTGGTAAACATTTCTAAAAACTTGCTTTAAATTAACGCTAAATCCTGAGCGAACATGCCTTCCTTATTCTATCGACGAATGTGGACTCCTATTTCTTATTTAATGATTTGAGTACCGTATGCTTGTTAAAACATGAATCGTTGTAATGTGTTTGCAAGTAATTATTTCGAACTCATTTTTTTTTTGTGATGAAATTTGATGATGTTTTTTTTTTTAAATTTCAGTGGTCCTTGTTTTTCGTTTTTTATTCTGACGTCAAACGTAAAATTGTCTATACCACTGAGTGTCTAAACGAAATCGTTCGAAGGAAAAAGCTTTGGAATTGCTAGTATTTACCAAAATGTATAATTATACGTTCATTTATTTTCAATTATGTTCCCTTTGATAATATCCCATTCAACAAGAATTAATGATGCAAGTATGAAAACTCCACCAGTTGATGGTAGCCAAATACCTATCACCCCTCCTCCTTAGTCGCCACTACCAGGATGGTCAATTACAACAACATGGTAGCCATGAACCATCAAACCTCTGAAGTTAGGTATCTTAAGTACTGAGTTTGCAATTGAAACTCAAGCTGTGTACTTGGTACGGCAGAGTTGCGTATTATTTTATTAGTAATTTAACAGCTTGGGATAGATTTCTCATATGTTAACCCATTCATGTCTAACCAGATAGTTGAGTGAAAAAACTCGTTAGCTAACATTGAAATTGACGAATGTTTCACTGACCCCCTCAGGGGGGCTTCTGACGTGTGTCTGTGCTCGTCAGAAGTCCTATTGGTATTTCGCGTTCCTAGGGGGATTGTTCCTGAGCGCCCCACCGCTGAGCTCGCGGTGTCTGACTGCATGTCTCAGTTGTGGGGTTAAGTTATTATGTAGGTAGGATTTCTTACATCAAGTTATTATGTAGGTAGGATTTCTTACATTAAGTTATTACGTAGGTAGGATTCCTTACATTTCCCTTCTCTGTCTCTCTCGTGCGGGCGGCCGACGTCCCGTGTCAGCGACCTCTTGTTCGAGTGTCTTAGTTTCTGTTACTTTTCACCTGTCCCTCCTTGTCACCTGTCCCTCCTTGTCACTTCGTCTCTTTGAGATGCTAACGCTGCTTCTTTCGAGCCAGCTTCAGCAGGCTGGACAATTGAGTCCTTCCGCCCTTTGTGGGCGATGATTAATTTGAGATTTTGAATAATTTAGACCTTCCGCCTTACTGGCGATGTTAACTTTTGACCTCCGGTGCGAAATAGCATGATAGCTGAAGCGCTAGTAAACCATCATACTACTACTCAACTTTCACTGACACGAGCTACCGCTGCTACTGTTATTAAATGTTACGTCTTGTGAAATAACTCGCTGTGGCCCAAGCGATGCTGTTTCTGCGCTGAGAATTCTTCTCAGTTTGAAATTCTCACGAATGTGAATCCTTGTCTATGATGTGCGTATGGTGAATAATTGCTCTTTATTTCTCTGCCCTTTGGAGGGAAAAGATTGTTCCCTTTTTGCTCCTAATTTTTTAGATGTACAAATTCGATTCCAGCGGAATCTTAAGACATTCACGTTCCCAACAGTTACTTGATCACCTACCATTGTAGATATTAATTTTTTATGTTGATAGTTTTATTACGCCTGCCAATGAGTTTTAAGCTAACTTCTGGCTTTCCCTCATTGCACGAGAGAGGGATTAGTTAGCTATTAAGCATTATGTATGATTAGATTACTTATCGATACCTCTTGAGAGTTGTCATTGAAATTAATTTAGCAAGTCATGTTATTATACCGAGTGAGTTAACGGCCTTTTACTTATCCTATTTTAGACTTAGTACTTTTCAATTCCACAGAACTTGAACTGTATATTTCATGGTAACAAGACTAGTTATAATTAAATTTCGCCAGTAACTCGAGATTAGCCAAAATTTTCATATTTACAACGCTCAGACAAGCTTATGTATCGTTGTCATAAGTCAATTAACTGCCTGATCTCTTCATAAATTTTTATCGATGACAAGCGCATTTCTCCACTTGCCTGTTGCTGGAGTTCATGGTGAAAACTGATCAATTGTATCACAATCTCATTCTAGGGTGATTCTGACTCGTGTCTTCGCTCGTAAGGGTACGCACACGGTGGAAGCAGGTTTGCCCGCGCGGGCAACCTGCCACAAGAATGAACATAGGATAATAATGTAAGTGTTCACATTGAAAACCTGTACGAATAGGCTTCTGTATTCTATGGTTTCAGGCGCCAGCCTGAGCAGGTAGCCAGCACGCTGGCAACCTGCTTTCACTGTGTGTGTACCCTTAGAAGTCCGATCAGTTTTCAGTGTCAGGAGCATTACACCACAGTTTCCGTCCAGCCACAGTGCACGGCTCGTAAGACTGGGTATATCAATTCTGGGAACTATTATGTAGGCAGGTTAACTCTAGTAACAATTATCTCCCAACCTCGTGGAGGATGATGGTGCTCGTGATGCAGCTTCGGTGCGTAGGTCATTTGCGACTTTCAGGCCCCAGAAAGGTGATGAATAACTTTTTTATTTCATATATTTTGGAAGACGCAGAAGCTCCACTTTTGAAACTTGATTTCATTTTGTGTAAATCGTCGAACGACGTAATATATATAATGTTTGAAGTAATAGTTTTTCTGTGGTGGTAGTATCTTCCAAGTGCTTATGGTCTTGTCCGTATCATTAGACTAACAATCGACAAAATTAATCGCTGACACTTCTGGATTCGCCGTTCTAAGCGGTTCGCAAACGTATACGGTTTTATTTATTTTAGGGTTTGAACAAGTTTCTGGCTTAGATGGGAAATAATATAATATAACGGTTTAAGCGTTTATTAGGCCATAGGTCTTTCGCCGATTCTTAACATTGCAGAACATCCACAGCTTGTTGCGGGCTTGAACTCGCAACTCACTGCTTCACTTTTGCTGCTTAACCGCCCGGCCTCCTTGCCAATTCTGACCAGAAATTGGCGCACAGAGAATAATAAAGAGAAGATAATCTCTCAATTTTGGACTTGAACGTAGAGGGTGCCGAATAGTAGTTAGTTGTATTAATAAAATGGTTTAATAAAGAGAGAAAAGTCAAATCTCTCGATTCGAATTGATTCTAAATAGAACTAAATGAAGATGATCACGGCCGATGTTAGTTCTTTCTTAATTTGTTGTTATAGCAATGACGATTCACGATAAATTCATTCTTAAAATTCTGTGGACGACTACAGTAAAATTCCCCTCATCTACAGATAAATCTTTATCTCTAATTAATTCACATTGTTCGGTTTAAATGCGCAAACAGGAATATCCCAAATTCCACTTCTCAGTGTATAAGTGCCTATTTGGTAACTGATTCGATGTTTATCATACCGATCCAATCGTTATAATAAACCATTAATCATCTGATGGTCGGAAACGTCCAGCAGCGGTTCCTGCAAGCACTGAACCTAATGATAGTTAAACTATTGGACAACCGCCTAGCCGGTGGGCGTATCAGGCATGGTGCGCTGCTGTGCTCCCAGTGTCGGTTGTCGTGGACAACAAGTAACATGTGGACTAAACAGCTCAGCTATTTCTATTCAGTACACTTTTTGTTAGTATACATATATTAGTACTGAAAGATGAAGTAGGATCTTGACCTGTCCTTGTCACTAGCTTCTAAAGTAATACATTGTTTTTGAAGTGGTATAAATTGATTTTTAAACACTGTAACCTGGCTGAACATCGTAACAAATTTACCTTGGATATTTATAATAATTTTTGAATGCTTGTCACAATGTCATGTTCGCGTTCATGAACTACAAGCTTGACGATAGAGACTTTGCAGGAAGTGAGTAGTCGTAATGTTCGCGTCTATTGAATTTCATGGAGTCGTGCCGTTTTCAAAAGCCTTGTAACGACCCTATTTTTATTTTCGAGAACCAAGGAGCGTACAAGCAAATGATTTGACGTAAATAAAATGACGCCAAAACAGCCATTAAAAATTAACAATTTGGTTTCTTCTTTACAGTCAACTACTTAGAATTTATTCGTTGCCAGTGAGATGCCCGCGAATTCTATCCTAAAATCAAATTTTAATAGAAACTGACAGACTGAGGTTAGTGTCTTCGAGAAATTCGCATGCTCACGTCTCCTGAGATTGCGAGATCTTCGAGCATCTGCACGATTTTGTTATGCGTCAAAGTAAAGATTGAATCGGGCTGCATATCAACATCGACTGTATTTTAAGAAAATAAATAAAATAAGAATCTGTGTGCACAAGTTAAAATAAATTTGTAATTAGATCATTGTATTTGTGTGAGCATTCACGATTGTTGCCGTAGAAACGTAGAGCGTCTAATCCTCAATCGGAATATATAAAAAATATTTGTTTTTTTTTAGTTTTGTTTTAATTCTAGTTAGATAGTTATCGTACATGAGTTCTAATTACAAATTGATGCCTTTTTGCTAAGCGATTTGTCTTGCGCTCGCCCAAATTGGTGGGAATGTCAGAAAATTAAATTTGAAATTATGATCATTGAAAACAGCGAAAACCGTTTGCTTTCCAAATTCAAGATCTTCTACCAGAACATCTATGATACATAATGAATTTAAAGCACATACGCAATTGATAATATTTAACTAAGCGTCTCCAAGGATGAGCATCTAAAATAGTATCATTGATACCGTACACAATGAATTTGGGTCACATCCACAACTGATAATATTTAGCTATGTCTCCCCTAGAATGAACACTTAAATTAGTATCCATGATAAACTATGAACTAATAGCACATCATCTACTTACAATTTTATCTAAGTCTCCCCAAGTATGAACACCTGAACTAGGAGGATTCATGATATACGATGAACTCAGTGCAGATCATCAACTGATGGTATTTATCTAGGTCTCCCCAAGAATGATCACCTAAAGTATTATCCATGATACACTATGAACTAAGAGCACACCATCTACGGACAAAATTTATCTAAGTCTCCCCAAGAACAAGCACTTGAGGTAGTATCCATGATACACTATGAAGTAGGAGCACATCATCAACTGACAATATTTATCTAAGTCTCCCCAAGAATGAGCATTTGAGTAGTATCCGTGATACACTATGAACTCAGTGCGCAGCATCAAGTGATGGTATTTATCTAAGTCTCCCCAAGAACAAGCGCTTGAAGTATTATCCATGATACACTATGAACTAAGAGCACATCATCTACTGACAAAATTTATCTAAGTCTCCCCAAGAATGAGCACTTAGAGTAATACCTATGATACACTATGAACTAAGAGCACATCATCTAAAATTTGTCTAAGTCTCCCCAAGAATAATCATGGATCATCATGTCACGTTCGACGATCGGTCGCACCCAGAGGAAGGCAAGACGCGGTGGTCCGTAACGAGCGGCTTGCACTGCCCGATTCCATCGTTCGTGAGTAATCCCCTGCTCGTCTTTTTGTGAAATCAAATAACCAGGAACTTAAATTTAAGTATACATGTATGGACAGAGGTGGGCAGTAGCGCGCTACATTTTCAGTAGCGGTAGCGGCGCTACATTTAAGCAGTGTAGCGGTAGCGCCCGCTACATTTAGAGCATGTAGCGGTAGCGGTAGCGGCCGCAACATTTCAAAGTAGCGCTACCCAGCTCAGTGTATGTACTATGAACACTCTAAATGAAATATGGCGTATACGAGTCTAAATTTACTTTCCCGACAATGGACACTTGATGCATTACGTATATTTAGGTAAAATTCGTATGAATAGAATAAGTATTGCAGTTTTGTTTACTTGATATTATATAATATCTTGAGTCCATTTAGTCCATATATCATGCATAAAATATAGATGATACCATGCATATCCAGTGGGAGTCGCAAAAAGGCCAATAAGTAAATATTGACAAACAATTTAACCATGAAAGCAAAGTTCTTGCATTTATTCGTGACCAACATAGTAAAGATAATTTATTCATTTACCGTTAATTTATTGTAAATGTTTTGATGTCACGAATGTTACTTAATTAGTGACGTCTGAACCGAGCAGAACCTGCGGCTGGCGACGGCGTACGTGACAGACGCGATGCTGGGTCAACAATCTACCTTTGAACCCACCGAGAGTAAACTGAGGTGTTTACGCCGACAACAATGATACCGTACATTCTTATTATTATTTAACCACGATAAAGAGAAATATAATTAAGGCACAATTACCTAAAAATTATTTATACGTGACCACCACGCAGCTTGCTTTCATGTGTGATGACCAATGCGATATCAACATAACAGGCTACAACCAAAGTCGCATTTTTCTCAATGTGGAAATTCAAAATAATGTTTGCAGTGTTACGATGGCGCAGTGTGTACGTCTTTTGTTGACAATGCGAAAAATGCCTGAATTCGTACTCTTGGTCACGGTAGGTTCATGTTAACAATTATTTTTTCCCCAATTTTACCGGAAGCGAGAACTACAAACATGCGACACGTAGCACCGTGACACTCTAGTAAAAAAGTTTTTCATCTGTCTCATTTTTACATGAATTTGAATAAACTGTTGAACTGAAATTGCACAGCAAAACACCATACGCATTGTACACCCTATACCGTCAAAATTTCAAATTTTAATTCAACTTGTATAATTTTGGCGTAAATCACGCCGTTAAATCTTTACTCAAACGAAAAAAAGTCTCAAGGCGTTAGCAACCCTATAGGCGCGCTGCTAATATTACCTTCGTATATTTCCAGTTCATATGTGTTCAGTTATTTCCAGTTCATATGTGTTCAGTTGAGCTCCTGCATGATACAGGCTGTACCGGCACTACCAAAGCCCAGTGGCTCGGTGGCTGCTTTACGCCGTGCTGATATGCCATCTCGGCCTCGCCATCGTCGAGGAGCCTGCCATGCCAGGATGCCACCTGCCATTCTGGGTAAAGTGTACAGATAATTTAGTATAGTATTTAGGAGCTGAAGAAATAGGCTTCTGCCATGCCAGGATGCCACTTGCCATTCTGGGTAAAGTGTACAGATAATTTAGTATAGTATTTAGGTGCTGAAGAAATGGGCCCCTGTCATGCCAGGATGCCACTTGCCTTTCTGGGTAAGTGTACAAATAATTTAGTATAGTATTTAGGTGCTGAAGAAATAGGCTAGGAAGTTTTCCAGTGCTATAAACAGGTCTACTGCCAGAAAAAATTTAGCTTTAGTTAACTCGATAGTTTATAAGTCTCAATCCACCTTTTAATGACAAGCCACAATATTCGAATGTGTGATAAAAACGATATTGAAAGATTTCTTTTTCTACTGGACTCGTTGTATACAGTAATTTCTTTCCATCCTTGGCGGCGGTACTGCCATGTATTGGGCAGGTAAAACGCAAAGAATTTCTGTTAACATAACATAACATAACATAGCGATGTCGTCGCTGAAGAGTAGGCCTGATGTGGCCTGTCGCCGATTCTTACTTTTCGTGCCTTGTTCACAGACGATCTAAAATCGTGACATTTGACCGGATCTTTTCATGACTGACGATAGTTTGAAATAGCTACTCGACTTCCACCGGGTTCGATATGGTGCTAGGCATTTCAAATCTGAACATATATTTTTCCATAGCTTTATCTAGTCAGTTAACAAGAGTGTACATATTGTGGACCCTCCATCTATTATACGATTTTGACATTTGAATTTATTTGCTTTTTAAGGCTTGAAATATGATTCAATTTGCAGTTGAAAATGATGACTATCGAAAGACTTTCACTCATTCACAGCCATAAATTTTGATTCTCTTCTAGGTGGACGTTCGATGACTTATTTCTTGATGGCAAAAAAAGATGTTTCAAATTTTGAACAGGCCTTTTGTGATCGTACTCGATCACTTACGTCTGCATCTTTTTTAATTGTCCATGCATCAATTAATTATTAAGAAAACAGAGTATTTATACCCAGAAATGAAATAAACAAATGCAAATTTTCCAAGTATCACAGACTATTTGTACCGGGAATTTAATGAACTGCATTTGTCATTTAAAGCTACAAAAAGTTAGAAAATTTATCCTGGCTTCAGCATTTTACGTTTTAATATTTTCTATTATTTTAATTTTTCTTCGCCTCAGGCAAGCATGTCAATGGAAGCAGCCTTCCTGCTCTTCTACGTGTGGCGTTTATGCCTCATTGCAAACTTTGGATCATTGAAAATACTGAAGTCCGACCCTAAACTAGTCATCCTCTGCGTCACCATTGGGGTCGGTTTGTCCTTTTTATTGAGTGCTAATATTTTGATATAAAGGGATATCGTTTTTCTTTTATTGAGTGCTAGTATTTTAATATAAAGGGATATCGTTTTTCTTTTATTGAGTGCTAATATTTTGATATAAATATTTTGATATAAAGGGATATCGTTTTTCTTTTATTGAGTGCTAATATTTTGAAATAAAGGGATATCGTTTTTCTTTTATTGAGTGCTAATATTTTAATATAAAGGGATATCGTTTTTCTTTTATTGAGTGCCAATATTTTGATATAAAAGGATATCGTTTTTCTTGAGCGCAAAAATTTGATATTAAGGGATATCGTTTGCATTTTATTGAGTGCTAATATTTTGATATAAAGGGATATCGTTTTTCTTTTATTGAGTGCTAATATTTTGATATAAAAGGATATCGTTTTTCTTTTATTGAGTGCTAATATTTTAATATAAAAGGATATCGTTTTTCTGTTTTTGAGTGCTAATATTTTGATATAAAGGGATACCGTTTTTCTTTTATTGAGTGCAAAAATTTGATATTGAGGGATATCATTTTTCTTTTATTGAGTGCTAATATTTTAATATAAAGGTATATTGTATTTCTTTTATTGAGCGCGAATATTTATTTTAATATAAAGGGATATCGTTTTTCTTTTAATGAGTGCTAATATTTTAATATAAAGGGATATTGCTTTTCTGTTATTGAGTGCTGATATTTTGATATAAAGGGAAATCGTTTTTCTTTTATTGAATTCGAATGTTTTAATTTACTAGGGAATGAATAAATCATTTATAGAGTGCATATCTTTTTATTCCTGCAATTGAGGGAGTCATATTTCTCCTGTTCAATATCTATCAAGCTGCACCAATCACTTTTCTTAAGTTTTACGTATAATATTTCTACTCGATTAGCGTTTTAGAAGCCAAAGTCGAAAAACCCAAAGTTGGCCAAAATCATCTTTCTCTAATTTCGTGTTAATAAACTTAGAAAAGAAGTATAGAGGAAAATTTTTTCTTGAAATTTACTTCTTTCCAGTTCATTTACTTCCGTATTTGACAACTCGAGCTCATCCTCTTACGCAGTTTATTGAGAGACAATCATTTATTGTTAATTTAGCCCTAATTTAGGTTTACCATTTAATAAAGTAACGATATTGCTCCTAACAAAAAATTCTAATCCCGTTGAGAATTGCATAAATTTGACGCGTATTCTCCAGGTGACCGTCGTCGACATGTTGGTCTTCGTTGCTCTGCACGCTGCCGGTTACTCCTCTGTTCGGTTGGTGGGAGACTGCATGAATGCCCACGTCAGGGCATATATGCGAAGTGAAAATTATTGTTAATCAATTACCAATTGATTAATAAATTACTAATATTATCTAATATTGATCAATTACTAACACTAGTCAATTAGTAATAACACTAATCAATTACTAATACTCTATCAATTATTTATACTAATCAATTAATAATACTAATCAATTACTAATACTAATCAATTACTAATACTAATCAACAATTACTAATACTAATCAATTACTAATACTTATCAATTACCAATACTGATCAATTACTAATACTAATCAATTACTAATACTAATCAATTACTAATACTAATCAATTACAAATACTAATCAGTTACTAATTCTAATCAATTACTAATACCATGAACATCTGCAGATCACTAACACTTATCTGTTGTGAAAAGTTTATTGATTGTCCAATTGTTCCTTTCATTGCCAAAAAACTTACTACGAGAATTTGTTTCAGTTTCTCAATATTTACCCTAGCAATCATTTATGTGGAATAATCTTTTCCAGAGATTTGCATTCATTTCTCACTGTCATTTTTCATTCATAATCCCATTTCTCAATTGTAGTTATATACTGTGATCCATTAACCCTCATGCTTCTTTTGTTTACGATTTCTAATCACATAACAATTTATATAGCCAGTCACTATGGTACTGTTAAATAAGTAACGTAATGCTTCAACTTTTCTTTTATCATCTGTCGCACTGGTAGCAAAATTCATCAAAAATTTCTCCAAGAGACTCCTTTTCATTCGTGTACACAAAGACAGGGTTTACGATTCGTAAGATTCAGTTCGTGTGCAGGCTGAGTCGTGCGTTGCGGCCAGTGCTGTGCGTGTGCTGGCCAGAGCTACGCAGCGTTCGTGTGGCGCTACGAACGCTGCGGCGTGCGTTGCCCGCTGTGGCGCACGTGGCACTTCTTTATTGTGCTGTGCTCGCCACAGCGACATTAATGGCATACAAGATGCTGGGACACAGGTAACATATTCGTTTGTCTTTATATTTATATATTATTTATCATATATATCATGTATCATATTAGTTATCATATCGTGTATCATATTAGTTAATTATGTGTATAATGTTTTAGTTTGCCTGTATTCCTCTCTAGCCTTCATTTTGTTACAAAGTTTTTCACGGAATTTATTCGATTGAATCTCAAATTAACCAGGAATTGGCGAATAAATTATTAAGCAGAGAAATTTCAAGTAAATCTCATGCATAGTCGGTGTCGTGCAGGGAGCTGGAGCAGGCGTCTGGACGGCCGTATTTTTCCTCGTACTGGGACAGCCTCTTTGATCTGTACGTGCTCGTCACCACGGCCAACCATCCCGACATCATGTGAGATTTGTTTGCTTATTGCCTGCTGCATTTATAACTCACATATATTTAAATATAGAACAAATATAGAAATGGAAATATCGAGAGAAAAAAATATAGAACAAGAAATATAGAACAAAGATTGTTGTTTCTTAGTTATTGAAGGTTGAGATGCAGTAATTTGAATCTGTATCCGCTGTCTTGAGTTGTAAGTCCTCCTGCAAAGCTGGAGTTGAATTTTCAGTGAAGATGGCATGCAGAGTGAGAAATCGCAGTGTTTCCACTAATGGATGTTTAAAGTGTGTATCATTGCCTCTGTCATTGTGACTGGGCAGTAAGCAGTGACTGAGGCTCATCAGCTACAAATTTTTAGTTTTTGATTCTCATTTGATAATGGATAAGGACATAAACTTCGATCCGAGCAACTATGGGCGGGAACATGTGTTATGTATTATAAGGATGGACAATTTTTCATTCGAAATCTGCTGCCTGTATTGAACATCACGTAGATTATATGCTTTGCCACTAGAAAATATTTTCAATAATTATTTTGATAATTTTATGAAGATCACGTAGAATTTATGCTTCCATATGAATCATTTTTATAACTTTATGGACTATCGCCCGCATCATAGATGCAATACTTTGTCTAATGCGTGAGTAGTGAGCAATGAGTAATTGTACGAGTAATTATACAAGTTGGACAGTAATTATGTTTGGAAGACCATACGAACTCGTTAAATTTTTCTCGATATTCACGTACGAGATCAAGCTTGTTGTTGGCTGCATCGTCCATGTTCGAAGACGCATTCAAAGTTTTAGCAAAATATTTATTATGGCAGGATGCCTGCGTTCAACGAACATGTGGTGTACGTAGCGTTCTTCGTGGCGTTCTTGGTGCTTTGCTACTTCATTTACATGAACGTTGTGCTGGCAGTCGTCTACAACAGCTACAAACGGCAACTCAAGGTGCGTGGAATGCTGCTAACGCATTATGAGATAACGGTTTTAATACAATGAATATCACTTATTTGCATTGAAAAGAATGACCATCACTTAGTTGCATCAAAAACAATGACTATCACTTAGTTGCATCAAATGGCTGTGAAACGATATACCATTTAAAACATCATCAAAAGTCTTGGTGGGACCATAAGCAAAATTTCATTTTATATGTACTTTACCTTTACATTTCCTTCGCTTTTAAATTTGTAATTATATTTTTAGTTTGGATAGAATCATTTCCAGATCGATGTCTACAGACAATATAGACGGCTATTTGCAGTGATTGCCCCAATAGGTAAGCAATCATAATTACTTTAGCGCACTATATTGAAGTTGAGTCGTAGAAGTTTATTAATTGATAATTAAGTGTTGTGGAATTATGTTACGTCGAAAGTGTCAAAATTCGCTTTGTTATGAACATAACTTATATGTCTAATGTTTTGTTAGCAACATAATTTAAAGTATCTTTCAACATTCACTTCAACGTTTTCTTACCTTTAAATTCTTGACTTCTAGGTTAAAAGACTCTGATTGCATTTATATTACCTTCGACAGACTGAGGTGCTGGAGTCGTTCATGAGTCGCCAGCAGCAACTGCAACGCGCGTTCGAATTGCTCGCACACAAGAGTCCCAACGGGTGAGGCCATTTGGAAATTTACTCAATTGTCATTCATTATTCATCATTTCTTTTGTATATTTCTGAACAAGAAACTATTTGCCCGAAAATTATCACTCATCAAATGCTGACGAATTTAGATTATTTGGTGCCTCTTAGCGCTGATATTAAAATCATGAAACATTCTTCGTCGTAATATATGTGGATCTCCCTTTCTTGTTTACTTGTTGCTTGTATACCTGCATGCTAGCATTTTGTTATTGAAGGTTGTACCTTTCCTGAAAATTTCTTGAACATTTTTATTTTGCCTGAGAAAAATTTTTTCGCTAAAACAAACGTTGCAAAAGATACTCATGCATAAATCTAGCGGATTGGTGTCAGTGGTGAAACTTAATCACTAAACAGGCGATGTTATATAGTGATTGCATTAACTCTTGCATTTTTGTTACCGTGACCGTCTCAGGCGTGCCTCGACAAAATTCAATCATTCCAAGTTACGAGTGCCCAGAAAAGTTCGGAAATCTATAAATTCAACAGCGCTTACCATACAATGACCAACTTTTTCCTCTGAGTGAAAAATACGGCTGGAGCATACGGGGCGCACTACAAAAAAAAAACACAATAGCTTATGTTTTATTGAATATTTTTCTTGAATTATTTTTATTTAATACATACAATAAATTAATTGCCCCTATTTTATAATAAAATATATGAACTATATGTATTTGATGCATACAATAAATTATTCGTATTTATTTTATACTTACCATGTAATGACAAGCAGCGTTTGGCAGGCGCAGTGTGGTGTGCAGTGGAAGGTTCGCGCAGTTGCTTCTGGAGCTGCCGCAGCGACGTAGCCCGGCGCTCGTCGCCGTTCTATTCACCGTACTCGATCAGGACAACTCCAACTCCCTAGGTTATTCCTTCGAAGTTATTATATATGTTCGGTGTTAAACATTAATAATTTTGTTTTAATATAGTAATAGATAAATTTATCACTGCACATGTTTATTAACTTGCTGGTACTTTCGTTTGAATTTTCCATATTGCAGCTTAATTAAATAAATAACTGTAGCACCTGAACTTTATACGTCTAGGTGTCTAGATCCTATTTCACTCCGTTTATTTAATCGACTCTTCATACGAATGAGATTATTATCATTTGTGCTTACCCCGCCTCTATCAACTATCATTGCGGTGGTAGTACAAAAAAATAGCATAGAAGTAGAATTTTTTCCCACACACGTCAAAAACTGTAACTTGTATAATATCACATTATTTATTCCCATAATTACTTCAAGTCTTAAATTCTACTCCCGTTTACTTAGAAAACGTTTGAAGTTTCTACCCACCTTTTGACATCACCACTTGCCATCTCACCACACTCGTAGATGCCCAAATAACTCAAATCACAAATTAATGTTCAGGCAACATATCACATGCCGGCGCACTCTTTTCACAACTCGTAGTTTCTGCCTTGTTTCATTCTATTCACGTGTAGAATGCGTGAAAACTTGCAGTTTAGGCAGTATTTTAATCTATTCACGTTTACTCTGTGTGCAAATTCGCAGTTTCTGTCTTACTTTAATCTGTTCTCTTGCAGTGAGCGTGAAAACTCGCAGTTTAGGGCTTATTTTAATCTGTACACACGAAGATCGCGTGGAAACTCTTAGTTTCGGGCTGATTTTAATCTATACGCCCGTAGATCGCGTCGAAACTCCTAGTTTCGGGCTGATTTTAATCTGTACACACGTAGATCGCGTGGAAACTCTTAGTTTCGGGCTGATTTTAATCTGTACACACGTAGATCGCGTGGAAACTCTTAGTTTCGGGCTTATTTTAATCTGTACACACGTAGATCGCGTGGAAACTCCTAGTTTCGGACTAATTTTAATCTGTACACACGTAGATCGCGTGGAAACTCTTAGTTTCGGGCTGATTTTAATCTTTACACTCGTAGATTGTATGGAAACTCTTATAGTTCGGGCTGATTTTAATCTGTACACACGTAGATTGCATGGAAACTCTTATAGTTCGGGCTGATTTTAATCTGTACACACGTAGATGGCGAGGAAACTCTTAGTTTCGGGCTGATTTTAATCTGTACACTCGTAGATCGCGTGGAATTCCGGAGGCTGGCAGATCTGCTGTCCGTGGAGGTGTCTGAGATTCAGTCACAGTCACGCTGCCTTCGGACGGTTGCTCTGTCGCTGCCGCGCTGTAGCCGCTCACTCACTTCTCTTGTTAACAACAGGCGAGGAAAAATACTAATCTTCGGGCCATTCATTTGCTTCATAATTTTCGGATTTATTTCACATTGGAGCCAATGTGAGATGGACAATATAATGTAACTGTAACAATTAATTCTATTGATTTACTTTTTTGAAGAGTTTTATCAGAATTATTTACCACTTTGTTAGTTTGTTACATTGTGGGAGAGGCTAATGTAGACAGGTACGAAAGCACGAAAACAAGCGTATGTAGACAGAATGTACCAAGTATTAAAATAGGGAGTAAATGAAACATATCGGTAATAAAAATGAGATAGGTAGCGAATAGAAGTTATGTATAATATAAATAAGATTGACAAGGTAATTTGTTTACAGTTCGCTTCACTTTGTAAATGTTAATTCAAGCCATAAATTGTCCANCACCGTGCTGATATGCCATCTCGGCCTCGCCATCGTCGAGGAGCCTGCCATGCCAGGATGTCACCTGCCTTTCTGGGTGAAGTTTACAGATAATTTAGTATAGTATTTAGGTGGTGAAGAAATAGGCCCCTGCCATGCCAGGATGCAACTTGTCTTTCTGGGTGAAGTTTACAGATAATTTAGTATAGTATTTAGGTGGTGAAGAAATAGGCCCCTGCCATGCCAGGATGCAACTTGTCTTTCTGGGTAAAGTTCACAGATAATTTAGTATAGTATTTAGGTGGTGAAGAAATAGGCCCCTGCCATGCCAGGATGCCAATTGCCTTTCTGGGTAAAGTGTACAGATAATTTAGGATAATATTTAGGTGCTGAAGAAATAGGCCCATTACCCATTATTGTACTTTTCGTGACTTGTTAACAAGAGATATTTAAACCAGCCTTATGACCAGATCGTCTCAAAACTGGCGTTGGTTTGAAATATCTGCTGAACTTTTTATCAGGTCTGTAAGGTACTAGCCATTTCAAGACTGAAGATATACTAACACATATAAAATACGAGTAGGTTCAACCTGAAAGCAACATTATAGGAAGTTTTCCAGTGCTATAAACAGGTCTACTGCCAGAAAAAATTTAGCTTTAGTTAACTCGATATTATATTATAGGTCTCAATCCACCCTCTAATAACAAGCCACAATATTCGAATGTGTGATAAAAAGATATTGAAAGATCTCTAATTCTTTTTAATTCGTTTGATACAGTAATTTCTTTATATCCTTGGCGGCGGGACTGTCATTTATTGGGCTGGTAGAACGCAAAGTATTTCTGTTAACAAAAGTGTACTATATTGTGGACCCTCCATCTATTATACGATTTTGACATTTGAATTTATTTGCTGTTTAAGGCTTGAAGCACGATTCAATTCGCAGTTGAGAATGATGACTATCGAAAGACTTACACTCATTCACAGCCATAAATTTTGATTCTCTTCTAGGTGGACGTTTGATGTCCGATTGCTTGATGGCAAAAAAAAAATTAGTTTTGAACAGGCCTTTTGTCATCGTGCTCGATCACTTACGTCTGCATCTATTTTAATTGTCCATGTATAAATTAATTATTCAAAAACATAGTTCTTCAACCCAAAAATAAAATAAACAAATGCAAATTTTCCATGTATCGCAGACTATTTGTACATGGAATATAATGAACTGCATTTGTCATTTGAATCTACAAAAGGTTAGAAAATTTATAATGCCCCCGCTGCATTCTATGTCAGGATAATTTTTATTATTTTAATTTTTCTTCGCCACAGGCAAGCATGTCAATGGAAGCAGCCTTCCTGCTCTTCTATGTGTGGCGTTTATGCCTCATTGCAAACTTTGGATCATTGAAAATACTGAAGTCCGACCCTAAACTAGTCATCCTCTGCGTCACCATTGGGGTCGGTTTGTCCTTTTTATTGAGTGCTAATATTTTGATATAAAGGGATATCGTTTTTCTTTTATTGAGTGCNTCAACTTTTCTTTTATCATCTGTCGCACTGGTAGCAAAATTCATCAAAAATTTCTCCAAGAGACTCCTTTTCATTCGTGTACACAAAGACAGGGTTTACGATTCGTAAGATTCAGTTCGTGTGCAGGCTGAGTCGTGCGTTGCGGCCAGTGCTGTGCGTGTGCTGGCCAGAGCTCCGCAGCGTTCGTGTGGCGCTACGAACGCTGCGGCGCGCGTTGCCCGCTGTGGCGCACGTGGCTCTTCTTTATTGTGCTGTGCTCGCCACAGCGACATTAATGGCATACAAGATGCTGGGACACAGGTAACATATTCGTTTGTCTTTATATTTATATATTATTTATCATATATATCATGTATCATATTAGTTATCATATCGTGTATCATATTAGTTAATTATGTGTATAATGTTTTAGTTTGCCTGTATTCCTCTCTAGCCTTCATTTTGTTACAAAGTTTTTCACGGAATTTATTCGATTGAATCTCAAATTAACCAGGAATTGGCGAATAAATTATTAAGCAGAGAAATTTCAAGTAAATCTCATGCATAGAAATTAGGTGAAATTTTTCTTAATATGTTATTTGAAACAAAGTTATTTAATTACGCGCACAGACAAGTGAAGTTATTTTTTACTCACAATATTCTTGTCGTATTGCTTACAAATATTCTTTATTCTGGCTTTTAACCGTTCCACAACACGGCTTTAATATCTATATTGCCATCTAGTTAACTATTTACATAGAATTGCGCACATTTGTTAAGAAATACAGCATTATTGTCGTTGCGAGAGCAGTTTTTACGCCCAAATACATTAATCCAGGATAATACAAACATTAATACATTAATCCAGGATAATACAAACATTAATACATCAATCCAGGATAATACAAACATAGGTTGAATTCGAATATAGGGTTTATGTTTCCTGACGATGCTCATTTATACGAGTTTTGTCACACTACATATTGACTTGAGTTTCATCACACTACATAATAATATGGGTTTCATCACACTACACATTAATGTGAGTTTAATGATACTATACACCATAATATGAATTTAATAACATTAAACACTGTAATTTGAGTTCAATGACACTATACATTATAATGGGAATTTACCAACATTATACACTGTAATGAGAGTTTAATGACACTATGCACTATAATGAGAGGTTCATGATACTATACATTATACCGAGAATTTACCAACATTATACACTATAATGAGAGCTTAATGACACTATGCACTATAATGATAGTTTTATGACACAATATATCCACGGCTCTCCCATGCACGCTCACGGTGTCGTGCAGGGAGCTGGAGCAGGCGTCTGGACGGCCGTATTTTTCCTCGTACTGGGACAGCCTCTTTGATCT